CTACACATTATTTGGTACGAAAGATTGCCTCCTCACAAAATCTCCTCGGATTTCCTCCAAATCTCCTGTATCTCCTCGGATCTCCTCCGAATCTCCTTGGATCTCCACCAAATCACCTGGATCTCCCTCAAATTTCCTTGGATCTCCTCCAAATCTCCTCGGATCTCCTCAAATCTCCCCCGAATTTCCTAGGATCTCCTCTGGATCGCAATATACTTAATCTTCTGTATCTCATGGATTTCATTTGAATTTCCGGATTTTTTTAGATTGGTGATAATAGGTATATGTATAATGTTTAAAAAATGAGGATTTGATTTCCAATTTGTAGAAACGTAAATAACAAAACAATACTTACCACATTGCGCACGAGTATTTCAAAATAAAACGTACTAAAAAAAACAGTTATGCTTCTATTAAAAAAATGTAAAATCAAATATAATTACTGGACATTAAAAAAAACAAAATAACACTGTTTCTACTTATCGATACCTATTGAATACATTCTAATATTAACGATAGGAACAAACGAGGGAACAAAGTAAAGTTTAAGTAATTAACTTTTTTTTAAATTTTTGTATAAATTACAAATTTGTTGTCTGTCTGACCACGATAAACTCATAGGTTTTGAACCTAACATTTTTATAGGTCCGTAAAAAATTTGAATCACTTCCACGTTTTGTACGTCCTCTTGTTTAGGCCAATAAAAATGTTGAAGATTTTCTTTCAGAAATTTCACTTGCACCAACCCTTCTTTCTTTGCATTGACCACTTTCCCTATATACCACGCAGCATCGTACTTCACAGCATAGTAATGTTCATTCAAAATGTTTACGTTGACTTTACTTATCTTTTTCGGTTCTTCATCTGAAATGTCTTCTGAATCGTGAAGGCCGATATTTTCAATTTCCAATTCCGATTCTGATGAGCTGTTATCTCGGCTTCTACGTTTCCTTACTTGATTTTTAGAGTTTTTTTCATCCTCGGTTACATATTTAATACATTTTCTATTTTTGTTTAACACTATATTTTTTTTATTCGTTTGGCCTTTAAACCTATATAATCGGTCAGCACTCAATCTTGATATATTTTCATTTAGCATCCAACATACTGAAGATTTTTTTACGGTTTTAGTGGCACCATTTTTCAAAACCACTTTTAAATACGGGCCTCCTGATAGATTATTTGTATCTAGGTCCACCTTCTCTGTGTAATCCTTTAAGTCTAACGATTCGCCGAAGCATTGCTTCAATACCTCAGTGTCCTCTGCATCCACATCATCATCACCATTTTCTTGAATCGCTTCTATCAATGTATTATTGTTTGATGTATCCGTACTTTGTTCGTCACATGGCACCTCGCATTGCACAACATCATCGATTCGGTCGCCGTCCTCTTCATTACCAGCATTTGATTTTTCGTCACAATCTACATCTATTTGTACCTTGTTCAGCTCCATCATAGATGTCCATCTGTCGCAGTTTATGATTCCCATTTTCTCAGCAGTATGTATTGCGTCTTTTTGTGACTTTAATACTACAGCTTCTATATCACAATCAGTCATGGGTTCATAGTAAGTTTCAGTTGTAGTGCTGACTCTCATTCTCTTGGGAAAATTGAAATTTCCTTGAAGTTCATGCTTTGCATCTTCTAGATAGTGAATACGGTTTAACCTATGTAAAATTTCTAACATGCTGTAATTCACCACAGTAGAGTAGGTACTGGTCATGGATCTCGTAGCTCTAAATAGCTGCTCACAAGGCTGACTACTCATAAGATGGGGAAGAAACATGTTCGGTGACAAATTATTGTCACTAACAAATTTTCTGATAAGTAAAATCATGGCGTGAGCATTCAATTCAATGCACGTATAGCTATTTAATGTGATAAAATTGTCTTTCAATGTATATATATCGGATTCTTTAATCCACTGCCTCCAGATTCGTAGTATAAATACACTATACCATATCTTATACAATCTTTCATCCAATTTGATATCCTGTTGCATGTAAGCATCCAGAACGTTCTTTACAATAGTCAAATATAAGATAGTCGCTTCGCTGTTTGGAACTGCACTTTTTAATAAATCTAATACTTTTGCATCACATATTTTTAACACCGCGGTGAAATTCATTTTATCTTGAGAATTAATATCAGTTAGCACTAAACGGTGCACATCTTTTGAAAAATGTTCTATAATATATTTTAAATGATCACTGGAAACTATATAGTCTCCAAACGGCAATAATATTCCTGGTTTAATTAGTCGAGTCCTCAGTTTAGTTCCTATGTGTGTAGTATCTTGTACGCATATTACTTCAGGGTTGTTAAGTTCAGCATGAAACCACGGCCATCCATCATTGTTTTGCGCGGAAGATAACTTTGTTACATACTTCATTACCTTTAGTAATCTACTGTCCCCATCAGATGACATGCCAAGAACTTCAATTTCATTATCTTTGGCCATAGCTATTGTGGTTCTCCATCGCTGAAGCACATCACTGGAGGAGAACCTATTGTCTGTGCCATACAGACAATAACAAAATTGCGGACTTTTAGCTATAAGAGGTTGGGCCACCAACGCATAGGTGTAGTTAGCCTTACTCTCTTCCTGAAACTGTCTTTTAACTTCCTGGATTGATGTTGCCTAAACATACAAAAAAATCTTTGTGAACTTTCGAAAAAAATCTCTTATACTTACTTTAAATGCCATATTGTTTGGATATCCATTAGGATTAATAGGTAATACAAACCCCACATTTGTATCGGTTGATGCACAATACTGGATCCTGCCATTAATACGTGTTCCATCTTCACTAAGCCACACTGTTTTTGGAAAATTGCGTTTCGATAGATGTTCACTCAGCTGCTTGATTCTTGGAACACCTTCTTCGATGGAACAATTTTTGAATAGTTCACGTTGTACAGTAGATATAGAAGGCAAAGCTCCATTCAAATTTAGATATAAAGTCTCGTATAGTAATCTGCCTCCGATGATAAATAGATAATTAGAGAATTTCTTTAAGGTGAGGTTGTACTTATTGCTTTTCTTTGTATTATTGTTATTTGCTGTGGCTGTTTTGATTAGCAAATTTAACAAACCTTTGATATTCTCGTCGTCGCTACTTTCATTGGGATGGTTTTCAAAAACATTTATTTTTTTACAGTTATCCAAAAATAATCTTTTTAATTCTGCATTTTCTTGCATCACTTTCTCTACGCTATTTACATAAGGGAAAAATGTTGTTATATAGGGTTGATTTTGAGGTATTACAGATAATTTGCGTTTGATCCTGTCACTTCTTGAATTTGCAGCTCGATCTGGAATTTTTAAATTCTCCTCTGATTTGTTTTCAAATTCCACCCGAGATTTCACTGTATCATCAGACTTTGTGTTCAGTAACACATTTTGTATTACATTAACTTTTTTAGTGCACGCTTGTTGATTCGTTAGTTGATCACGAGTTTGATCGTTAGTTATTGTCGAGGTTATTGTTGACGATGGTTTGGGACGTTTGGGTTCTGATTGGAGATTAAATTCACAATCGATGTGCGAAACAACGTGACTAGTATTACTCGAATTTTTTTCGATGCCCGACACACTTAAAAAATCGATTTTGGGGTTTTCCGAGGGTTTTTCTAAATAATTGAGCATTGTCTTAAATTTTTTATTTGGACGACAATTGCCTTGGGAATTCGTTTCATTCTCGATTTCGTTTGACACTAAAGTTGATTTGTTGGCAGGGATCTTGGTGTAAAAGTGCGCTTTAAAATGCTTGTAGAAATTTCCTCTTAACCACCGCGGAGCGCAAGTACTTTTTCGCTGTTCAAAAAAAAGTTTTACTTTATTTTGACATAATATACAACAGACTGTGCCAAACAGGTCATCATTGTGCCCTATTTGAACAGTTACCTCAATATTGTCCAATCTGGTAAGATATTCACTTTTTTTGTTTAAATCTAAAGTTGCTTCCTGAATTATATCTTTGCACTTTTTTAAGAGCTCTTTTCTTAAATTATTTTTTTCTAAATGCAAATCAATAACTTCCTCTCTCACTTGAGTTTTTGGGCAATTACGTTGTCGAGAACTTAATGGATTTTGAAACTTTTGAATATTTTTTTGTTCGTTTAATTTTTTTTTAAGTGTCTCTGATGCGATTTTTAACAACTTCTTATGACCAGGTAATAGTTTAAACTTTTGTGGTACTCTTTTATACACTCCGAAATATTGCTCGTACTCGGCTTCGTCTATTAAACTGGTTAGTTCCTCCCTTCCAAACTGTTCTATTGCCTGTATATCATCGTTTGTAATGTTACTTAATGATTCAATATTGTAATAACCCGAAATTTTTAAAACATTTTTTAAATCTTGAGGTAATGCTGGTATTTCTTTCTCAAATTCGTCCGTACCTTGGTACGCACTGTTGGTTGTGTGTTCGTTATTCATATTCGAGCCCATAGTCAAGCCACAAAATGGTAGGTCAGCACGCTGAAATGACAGAAGCAATGTTTGAAAAAGGGGTAGATACATCTGTGGTAACATCCGATGTATCCTCGGATGTATCACTAGCACTTAAGACCTAATTACAGATAAAGTGTGAAATTCGAGGTGGAATTGAAATAAATCTTCATGCATTTTGTCAAAGTGCGCCGCCACTAGGAGTTTGCCCCAAATAATATTTTTGACGCACTTCGTATAAGCGCAGTGCTAATGAAAATGATATATTATTTACCTTGAAAAAATATTAAACTAAAGTCGAAGGAGAAATACGAGGTATTAACACTGCTTATTATAACCATAAATGCAAAGGTAAATAAAGAACCAATTTGCGGCTAAGATACATTGGTGCAGTGTCTACAAAAACCAAGTTTTTATTCTAAAAAAATACCCATTAATTTTCTCTCAATCTGGACAGCAAATTTCGAAGTGCAATTGAAAATGTACCTTTTGTTGTGTTTATACCTAATCTATGAATATGTAGAAAAAAAAACACTTTTTTACTTACCTTCATCGAAATCCTTATTCACAACACATTACACAACATAAATTTTGCACAAATCACATGCTTTATGCGGATGAAACAGAAACTAAAAATAGAAAGCAACAAACGCATGTGCTTGCACAAAACAAAGATAAACCCCTCCTAGATGCGTTGCAAGTTGGTGAGTCAAAACTGCGAGCGAGGATCGGAAATTTCCACAACGTTGCTTACGCGACGCTTTGCAGTTCGCATTCCTCAGAATCTCCTTGAATCTCCTCGGAATCTCCTCGAATCTCCTCAAAATCTCCTCGGATTTCCTCGAATCTCCTCAGATTTCCTTGAATCTCCCCGGATCTCCTCGAATCTCCCCGGATCTCCTCGAATCTCCCTATAGATCTCCTCGAATATCCTCGGATTGCCTTAGCTCGAAACGAGAAATCTCCTCCGTGACCAACCCTCGTTTACTAAGTGTTCAACGTGGCCACTGTTGTTCTCAATGCACTTCCTACATCTAGCCAACTATTATTATACTATTGCCATAGTGTTTATTCACTTGATACGCGTCGTTGCAGACGGGATTTCGTGGGTTTAAACAAAATTCTGATCAAGTGTCAGCCACACATCGCCGCCTGAGATCGCTCCGTGTGCACCGCCGCGCCGGCCGGTTGGGTTGCCTACCTACAGGCGCGAAATTCCAGAAGGTAAATTTGGCTCTGGCACCCTTATTTTAGATTTCCGACCCCAAGTGTGCTATATCAAAATACTCCCCTACGCACCACCTACACGCTCCCAAACGGTGGCAGGTACTATAGGAATCACCCTGTAGAGTTGACAGGTTTTAGTTTGTTACCTGAAGATGATTAACAATCGAAACATGTCGTAACATTTCGCAATTATATATCTGTTCGTCAATAATTAAACATCCATGGGGAAGGTTTTGAGGAATTGAGTTGTTTATTTCCTGTATGGTTCATCACCCCATTTAGAGCATGGATCAACCACGAGTTTTTTCTGAGGGTCACAGACTGCAAAATGTCAACTTTTTTATTTATGGAGATATTGCTTGAAATTTTAACCATACAGGGTGGCCCACGGAAAACAGTCAATGCCAATTTTGCCAACTTAAAGGACAGTTTTGTCAGAAACGCTCGGACACGTCAATTTTAGTTTTGAGGGGGACACCTAAATTAAGTAATACTACTTACATAACTTTAACCCTGAGAAGGAAGTGAATTGAATTGCACTCCAAAAATTTTAAATGGGAAGGGGTAGTAAATGTTATATAGGTCGAAAGAAATGTTCATTATGTTTTCAAAACTGTTTTTATTTTTCAAATCCGATCAGTAGTTCCAGAGAAAACTCGATTTAAATGGATTTGCAGATCCGTTTTAAATGTTTATTAAGTAGGCGTTGAATTGAGAGCTTGTGTCAGAAAAGAACATCTGACATAAGTGCACAAGCAAGGAAGCGCTTCCCATTTAAAAATTTTTGGGGTGCAATTCACCCCCTTCTCAGGGTTAAAGTTATGTAAGTAGTATTACTTAATTTAGGTGTCCCCCTCAAAACTAAAATGGACGTGTTCGAGCGTTTCTGGCAAAACTGTCGTTAAGTTGGCAAAATTGGCATTGACTGCTTTCAGTGGGCCACCCTGTATATGCCTCTAGTAAAGAAAAACATAGCGCACATAGCTATGGCCTCTTCGGAAGTACTGATCAATTCATGGAAAATGCGCTGAAGTTACTCGACTTAGGGTGAAAACATTTTTACTTGTTTATTTGACAGGTTAGTTTTTTAGAGTGCTCGCCATTATTACATTTTTAGGTACAGGTTCTTAAGGAAAGTAGGGTTCTCAGTTTAGGTTTAGGTTTTCTTGAACATCATTATTTTTATATGGAAGGGTAGCTTCAGGGATTTTTCGAGTTAGTTTAGGATTTTTTTATTTTTTAAGTTAGGCAAGTTAGTGTAGCAGAGTAGATTGATCGGGGGGCGAACCAGAGGACTGCTCTGCTGCTTTGGAACTGGGTTGTGTAGGCGGTCAGCAGGAGAATAGCGACGGTCCTCCCACATTAGACTTACCCGGGTAGAGTAGGACAGACGATGTTATAATTAAACGCAAAATGGCGAGCGTAAGGTACTCTCCGTAGGTACATACTTCAGATAGCCCCCCCGGGAATCGCTGTTTTGGGTGCTTGCTATTCCCAATGTTAAGTCCCACATTTCTAGTGCGTAGAAAGTGGCGTTTCGAGGTACAATTTTTTGTATATAGTGCTAGAGGTGGGTTCTTTTCACGGCACTGTATGCCATTTTTCCTCCTTCAAATAACGCACGATCTGTTGACACAAGAGTGTAGGCGTGGTTTTATTTAAATTGGTAAGTTGAGACGATTTGGGTGGATTTGTGAAATTGTGTGAGGCAAAAAATGAAAGAGTAGACTTTGGTTTTGTCAGTTTTGCTTTTTTTAACGATCGTTTCGCGATAAGCTCCCATTTATTTTTAATTTGTTGTTTTTGTTTTGTTTTTTTTTTTTTGTTTTGAGTTGGATCCATCGTTCCTCGAAATGGGGGTTGAAATATATTATGTTATCAAAAATCTCTAAACCTTCCCCATATAGTTTTATTCGTTGAAGTTTTTAAAAATAACAGCGACTATAGTTTCGGCGTACTGCCATCATCAGGCGATGTGAAAGTTAACAGGAAAACGGTAAATTACAAACGTTGAAGACGGATAAGACGAACATGTTGTTTTTTTTAATTATAAACTGGCCGAAGCCAAGTGAAGAACCTGAAGGGTGGTTAAAACAGGAAAGGTTGTCCTAAGTTTCAAGACGAATTAATTATCAAGCCTTGTTAAGACAACCAACCGGGGGGTTGAATTTTTACATTAAAGTTGAAATTTGGGTTAACACCTTTCAAAAGAACGGGGGGGAAAAAATAAACTTATAAAAGTATTGAAACTATTAAGATGACTACATATTTAAATTATTTAAGTAAAGTTTAAATTCGAGATCATGCAGACGGCATGTCTCGAAATGATTGTTCGTCTTATCCGTCTTCAACGTTTGTAATTTACCGTTTTCCTGTTAACTTTCACATCGCCTGATGATGGCAGTACGCCGAAACTATAGTCGCTGTTATTTTTAAAAACTTCAACGAATAAAACTATATGGGGAAGGTTTAGAGATTTTTGATAACATAATATATTGTTGTTTTTGGTCCTCTCGCTTTTAAAAACAAGAAGGGGGTAATGTAACGGAACCTTGTTTATTTATTTATTGTCCCTCTCTTATTCTGGGCCCTCAACAGGCTTTCGCCTAATTACAGAGTGATCCGCATAATGTTTTTTTAGAGGTGCCTCTGCAGAAGGGCTTAAGTTGTTCTATACTACTCCGGTATTTACCTTACAAATTAAGAAAACCTAATTCGGAGTAACCGGAAGTTTGCTCGAAATGGAGCTAAGGAAATTCCCATCTCTGTCACAGATGAAAAAATCACCTGAACCCAGGTTCGAACATCGACTTCCCGGCTATGTAGCCCAACGGTCTACCACTGAGCCAATAGGGCTTGTAAAAATCTGTTACAATTGCAACATTCCAAGGAAAACCAGATTATTTATTTATTTATTTATTATCCCTCTCTTAGTTTTGGGCCCTCAACAGGCACGCGCCCAATTACAGAGTGACCCGCATAATGCTATTTAGAGGTGCCTCTGCAGAAGGTCTTAAGTTGGTCTATACTACTCCGGTATTTACCTTACGAATTAGGAAAACTGCAGGAAAACCTAATTCGGAGTAGCCGGTAGAATGCTCGGAACTGCTCTAAGGTAATTTACATCTCCGCCACAGATGAAAAATTCACCTCGACCCAGGTTCGAACACCCGACCTCCGGATTTATAACCCAACGCTCTTACCACTGAGCCATAAAGCCGGCCACCACTGAGCCATAAAGCCGACCAATGTGATATACGCCCTCGTAAACACCCCTGTATATCACAGAATTTGGTTCTCCTTAAAACGGAATGTTGTAATGCTCTCCGGAGTTCCAAATAAGACCGGCTGGGATTAACCATGGCATACATAATATATTAAAAGAAATCTTCTAAGCGATTAAAAAAAAACCTTATCAAGAACCAGTTGAATCTTTTGACAATCACGGAAGAGCGAAATGTATGTTTTTTGAAAAATTTTCAAGCAATGTTTTAAACATCTTGATGAATCTTTAAAATCTGTTCAAGAAGATTCTTGTCAAAATCTTAAAGGCTCATGGATATTCACAAAAAACTGTAATTTTTATATGGAGATCAGAGGTTCAGAAACAACTGGAACAAAGTATAAATATAAAACAAAATTAATTGTTTTGCTACCACGTGAAAATATTAACACTATTAATATACTTGGCAGTCTGGAAACGTGAAGAGCTCGTTGAGTGATAAGTTGCGGTTGAGCACTCAAACGAAACGCCCGAATTCGTAAATAAATTGTGTTCTTGCAATTGTGGG